CAGCGTCTTAACCACTTGAGCCACTGGAGATGCTTTACAGAAAGGGAAATGTAATCCAAGTACAAACCATGTGAAGATTTATGCCAGTGTACTAAAACAAATGCGCAGGGTGCTTCTGAGTAAATGTGTTACTTATTGTGAGACCTTGTGTCTGCCACTTCCTAGTAGAGGACTTGCAGCCACCATTATTTGAGATGCAAAAACTTTAAAGATGAATTATCAACATGCCAATTATTAGCAATGTTGTTGTATATTTTCAGTTATGCCAATGGGCTTTCTTATATAGGCTCTCTGTTGATCTCTTGCTCTAAATTATATCTTGGTTTTATCCAGAAAGGTTAGTTATAGGTTTTAAATAAGACCATAAGAGAAGCCAATGTTGGATCAGGCCAATAGCCATCCATTAACTTAAATATTTTGTTTTCCAATGCAATCCTCTGATTGCTTACTTACAAAATTTTTACAGGACATTCCGGTTGAAAGTCTTGCAAGGTGGTGTACAGATTAAACCAAATGGTTAAAAAAGTCCATAAAACTCAAAGTACATATATCCAAAAATGCTACTGCACAACTCATTAAAAGCACCACTAGCGTCATGAACATGCAACTCTTCAAACTGATTGTTGGTATTCAAATTCCAGTTTCCTTTCTTCTCATTAGAGAGCCTTGAAACTCATAACATGAAAAAGGAAAGGCAAACCAAGAGCTCCAGTGCAGGGTCACAGGTTTAGCTTCCATTCAAAGTCAACAAATGAGGCCGGGGGACAAACTCTGGCTGCGCTCACCTCCGTGAAACGGGACCCACTGATATGGTGTCTGGCTCCCTGAGATGGGCTTGCCGTTGTAGAGGGAGCACTGCATGGCCCGGAAGGGTGTTGATCCAGACGGGCAATCCTGCAGGGAGCGGGGGGGGGAGGGGAGAGACAAAAGGGGTTCCATGGAGTAATGCAGACTGCAATGTGCTAGGAAAACATAAATATTGGGCATCCAGCCTAGGGACTTTCCAATTCCATATGCATGATCATTGACTGGATCAGGACCATCACATCACTCAAAAGAGCAAGCTGACAGAGAGGGAGGATCTGCTCTTCAACTTCTTTGTCACCATCCATCTTAGGGCCAAACTACATGTTAGCTTTACATAAGTCCGCCATGGGGACTCAAAACTATTCTTCAGCTGTTAGTTTCTAGTGATAGCTCCATTTAGAGGTGCCACAGAGGCCTGGTTTGGATCAGGACCACAGTGTGGGGGAAGGAAAAGCTCCTCCCCCACCTGTCCCCTCCAAAAGTCAAAGAACACCCCCTGAGTGTGGGAACAGTGAAAATATTTGCGTGGCAAGCCCGAATAATTCACTGTTCTCCTGGCTGGAGATTGGGAACCCAAAAGTATGTGTGTGCTGAGACATCTGCTGACTATGAAGTCACTTGGCCTTGGCAGAGAGACGAGAGAGATAACAGAGAGCTGCCTGCACAAACACATTCCATGCTATGCTCCTATGCCTGTGACTTTCCCTTACGCAGGGAGAGGGGAGGAGGGAAAGAACGGGGGAAGAGTGAGAGGATGAGTGAGAGGATTCATTCAGTCAGCTTTCTACAGACCTGTGTCCTGTCTTCTTTGAACACCAGCAACCTTCACCTGGGCTATTTTGGCTCAGGAAAAAAACTATGTGGGGGGAGGGGCAAGAACACCTCCATGCTGTGGTCCTGATCCAAATTAGGCCCATGAGGTGTTTCTAAATGGAACTGCCAACAGGAATGTCCAGCTGCACTATGGCTGCAAGTCCCATAACAAACTTGTGTGAAAGGTAATGTGTAATCTGGCCCTTGGACCATTAATTCTCATTTCAGTGACCACAGACGGTTTCCATTTGCCAACTTATGGTGGAGACCTCTGAGCAGTTGCAGCCCTTGCCAGAAAATGCTCAGCTGACCTGGGGGCACAAACTGGGACCAAAGGATGGAGGAGTGATCATTCTGGGGAGTAGAGTTAAAAAGAAAAACAAGGCCTCGTCTGCTTACAGCTAGGTCTGACCATAGAGTTCCTGTTGATTCCTAGAGCTACCCAGAAGTGACCAAGGTAACTGCTAGGGTAAGAGCTATCTTTGTCACTTTTGGGTAGCTCTACGAATGGTATGAAACTCTATGGTCAGAACTTCCTTTAGGTAGATGAGGTCTTATTTTTCTTTTTTACTTTTTCTCCACTGCATCCTAGCCTGGGTCTGGGCTACAGTTGCCAGGTCCCTCCTGGCAACCGTTGAGGGGTGGGGTGGGGACTTACCAGGAGCAGGAAGGAGGCCCAGGCTACACCGTCAGTGACATGGTGATGTCACTTCTGATATGTACTTGAAGTGATGTCATCACATTGTGATGTCATAGTGACTCTCTGGTGTTTGGGCAAAAATTCTATGGTAAAAACGGCTTCTACCATAGAGTTTTTGCCCAAATACCAGAGCATCACCAGACATCGCCGACATGATGACATCACTTCGGAAATGATGTTTGTCCCATTGCTGGCAACGTAGCCTGGGCCTCCCTCCCGCTCCTGGTAAGTCCCCGCACTGGCCAGCTGACTGGTGGGGAGGCTGGGGGACTGGCAGCTGAAACCGCCAAATGCCATGCAGGACCTCAGGTCAACACATAAAATGACACATACTTTATGCACTTGTCTAATGGCTGGTACTCACATCCAGTTCACAGACTCGATACTGGCGGGGCTTCCCTTTGCACATCTCCTCCTCAGGAAACCTGCATCCAAAGAGTGTATCCAGTGAGTATGCCACAGGCTTTGTTCCCTTACAATCATCACAGGCTTTGTTCCATTAAATGGTAACATTAACTGGGCCACAACATGCCATGGTTGATGAGACTCCCTTAGTACTGTGTTGCTGGACACAGCACGGCAAAAATTAAACACATCGCTGAGAGCGATGTTCCTAGTTCCTAGCAACATCCAAGAAAAACTTAAGACTGTACAAACAAATTCCAAGAGATGCAGCTATTTCCAGCATCTCCTTTTCTGGACTAGCTCCTCCTGTGTATTTTGATGGAACAGCTACTGCCTAACTTTACCTCCCATAGGCAGCACAGGCTGACAGGGGCAATATCTCAGTGACAGAGCCCCAGTACCAAACACAGAAGGTCCTACATTCCGATCCCTGTATCTCCACTTAGGCAGCAGCTCTTGGGAAAGGCCTTTCTCTGCCTGAGCTGCTGTCAATCAAAGGGAACTAGATGGACTAATGGAGACAGAGGGAACTAGATGGAATAATGGTTGGACTTGAAAGGTTGCCAGCTCTGGGCTGGGAAATTCCTGGGAGGGGAGCCTGGGGAGGGCAGGGTCCCATTGGGGTATAAGGCCACAGAGTCCACCTTTCAAGGCAGCCATTTACTCCAGGGGAACTCATCTCTGTAACCTGTACAGCTGTAATTCCAGCCACCACCAGGAGACAGTGGAAACCATACGGCAGTAGCAGCTTCAGAGCAAAAATCACAGCTATAATGGATCTCGTTTTGAGCTAGACAGACCCTACCTCCTCTTTAAAGGGTCGCAGGCAGCTGATGCTGTGACAGCCACGGACTGTCAGAACAAGCAATTGCAAAGCTAAACAAGAAAGCATAAGACAGCTTTGTGTGTTTATATGTTTAAACCTGGATCATAGGGCTCAAACACACTGGTTGAAGATCACCCCTCACAATCGGTCTATCAAGCGCAAATGGCAGGCTCTTGACGCCTCCATTTACCTCAAAGCTTTTCGGAAAGGGAAAGGGAGTGTTTAATCCTTCCATCTCTATTTAATTTCACTATTTGAAATTGGCTCCTGCTGCTCCGCCATTAGCAATAAAATATTAGCATGAAAACATTCATAGCAGAGCAGGGGAGCCAGTTTGGAATAGTAAAATCAAGTAGAAACTGAAGGGTTAAATCCCTCCTCTCCCTTTCCTGCACAGCCCCAAGGTAAATTGAGGGTTGGAACCCATGGGTCCATTCCGCTAGCGGTGGTACTCTCCTCTGGTGCAAAGAGCATTTCCTTGGCACAAGAACCTCTTGCGTTGGGGAGGGCTCCCTCCACCGGAGGAAAGTGCCACTGCTAGTGGAACAGATCCACGGGATCCAACCCATGGGCTGCATGACCCTGCAATTTTGCAGATGAACCAAGACACATGATCTTTGTCTCACTGTAAAAAGATTTCACAGCATTAGAGAGTTGTTATGAATAGTGTGCAAGAGAGGACAATTCCAATCTCTCCACAAATGGTATCATCAGCTTTCCGGAAATACTGGGTTACATCTGAAGATCTGGAATTGGCAGGTGTTCTACTACTGATAGCTTGCAGGATAACCCGGGCCAAAAAACCCTGGAAAAATTATTTGGCTCCTGCAATGGAAGAATGGAAGAAGGGAAGGATTTGGCAAGTGTTCCTGATGAATATGCTGAAATCTCAGCAGGTAGCTGTGACGGTCTGTACAAAAAATATCCAACCCCAACAGTAAAGGAACATCTTTAGTTGTTCCTAATAGAGGAATTGCATTTCTTTTGCTTTTTGACAAATTATGTCATCTCATGTCATATAGGAATGGGTGCGCCAGAAACCTGGTTAATTGCAGGAGAAACCACAGACTCTGAAATCAGTAAAAGGCAAGAAAATGATTTGTTATTTGATTTCGTTGAATCACTCTGAGCTTGGGAGAAGCAGTGTTTAAAAATATTTAACTAAACAAACAGGGAAAGAATGTCATCCATGACAGAAGGTCTGAGGAAAGGCCTTCTCAATGGAGCCCCCAACGGTCCCGGCCACCACCGCTGGCCTTGCAGCTCCACTGCCGAGCCCCTTGAGGGGCCCGACGGTGGACCTGCAAGGCCGGCGGGAGTGCAAGGAAGCCCCGCAAAGGCCCTCCCTGGCCCCAGGCAGGCAGGGGTGGGGAGAGGCAGGGAGGAAGCAACTTACCCTCCCTCTTCTCCTGCCTCCTCCTGGCTGAATGAGGGCCGGAAGCGGGGCAGCCGGAAGCAGGGGACGGGGCTTCGTCATGTGCCCCGAGCCCTGTACCTCACCCGGGGGAACTGCATTCCCCCGCGTTCCCCCCCGAAATGACCTCTGCCTGTGACACTTCCTGCTTCTCTTATTTACCTGGAGCCTTCTCTGCTGTGTTTTGGTTTTCTAGGTGCAGAATATGTTTATTCTCCCAGGCATTTTACTGGAGCTGTTTTCTGGCTTTGTCTGCAGAGACCCTCCTAAAATGTCACAAGTCCAAGCTGCCACGTCCGTCCACATCTTTTGCTCACTGTGAACTGTGGAAAGGGTCCCACAGTCACACCCACAAATTTCATAGCTGCATTCTGCTGTCCCTTTTGCATGCACCTACCGGATGCACCTCCTGGTCCGGAACGAGGCGCCATCTCCACAGGTGCTGGAGCAGGCACTCCATGAGCCCCAATGTGTCCATGTCCCATCGCCTGGCTGGCGTTTGAGGCGGGCCCGCGGGGACAGGCCGAGTCCCAGAGTCCTGCCGTCTGTCCCCTACTTAAAGGAATATGACAAAGTCACAAATCTCAGGATGGTCAACGGCCTTGCTTTTGTCACACGAAAAGATCTGTACCTCACTGAACCAAGACCTGCTGTTTGGAGTACCTGCCAGCCTCTGAGCTACACAGGTCTCCACTTCTGGTAAAGCAGAAAAGATGCTGTGTGTCGGGCGAACAGAGACTTGGGCGTATTTCCCACAAGCTGCTGCGCAGCCGCATTTTGCACCCGGAGTTTCGTGTGATTTTCCCCGTGTCTACTCAATCCTCAATGCGGCCGCACAGCAGCTTGTGTGAAATTGACACATACCATCGGGGCAAAAGGGAAGAGCGAGCGTGGTGTTGGCCAACAGATTCACCAGCTGAATCTTGGATTGGTAAGACCAGGCCTCTGAAGAAAGCTCCTTTGGCACAGAAGTGGCCTAGAAGGCTGCTTTAGATAGGTGTTGAAACACTGGGAAAGGTTTTTGACGTATTATGTGACCTCCTCATGGAAGCTGTAACAAGGGCAAGCTGAGGGGCACAGAAAAAAAGTGTATCGTGACCAGTGTTCCCTCTAAGCTGAGTTAGTGTGAGCTAGCGCAAAAATTTTTAGCCTCCAGCTCACATTTTTTCTTAGCTCAGGAAAGATGGTTCCAGAGCAAAGTAATTTATGCAGTCGCCAAATCACTCGCTCACAACTTTAATGCCAGGAGCTCACCAAGTAGAATTTTTGCTCACAAGTACTCCACAGCTTAGAAGGAACATTCATCGTGACTAAAATAAATGTTATTATTACTCTTGTTATTTACATATTTACTTTTTTACCAAAATTACTACTATAAAAGGTATGTGTGTGTGTGTTTGTGTGCTTTTGCTGTCATATCACAGCTGACTTATGGCTGACCCTTTTTTTCAGGGCAAGAGACATTCAGAGGTGGTTGGCCATTGCCTGCCTCTGCGAAGCAACTCTGGACTTCCTTGGTGGTCTCCCATCCAAATACTCACCAGGGCCAACCCTGCTTAGCTTCTGATATCTGACAAGATCAGGCTAGCCTGGGCCGTCCAGGTCACTATAAAAATATGGTGGCACAAAATGCCTTCAAGTCACAGCTGATGTGTGGAGACCCCATAGAGTTTTCAAGGCAAGAGACATTCAGAGGCGGTTTGCCATTGCCTGGGGTGCAAACTTATATTCTTGCCTCAGGCACAAAATTATCTAGTTATGGCTCTGATGTTGTGCACATTCAAGCAGCTGGTTTAAGTGAATGTCTGAACTTGCACTAATTCCGATTTTGGAGATCATTTCCTTGTAAAAATCCCAGACAGTGAGTTACATGGTTTTCGTAGTGCTGGTGACCATGGGCCCACCTCTCTTTCAGTGGCACAGGAGAAATGGAGCTGGTCTGACCTGCCAGTATCAGGCTGAAATGGCCTCTCTCTCAGTGTTTAAGATCCAGGTTGGTGTAGTGGTTAAAAGCGGTGTACTCTGACCTGTAGAACTGGATTCAGTTCCCCACTCCTCCACTTGAAGAAAGCTGGGTGATCTTGGGTCAGTCACAGTTCTCTCAGAGCTCTCTCAGATCACCATAAGCTTCTGGCTTTCCCCCCCCCCCCTGTGTGTTTACATGAATATCTGAAGGTCATTCCCAAGGGCCAGAGAGAGGCATTTGCAACCCACTGAGCACTCTGGCTCATATTCGATTTAGTGACTGATGTAAGAACACTTGAAGGCGCCCATACAGAGGGAAGAGATCCCCAACAAAGCAGAGAAGGCAGGAACCTGCAACAGGCCATAGTTCAGTGGTAGAGCATCTGCTTGTCATGTAGAAGTTCCCAAGTTCAGTCCCTGGTATCTCCAGTTAAAAGGATCAGGCAAAAGGTGATGGGAAAGACCTCCATCTGAGACCCTGAAAAGCCACTGCGAGTCTGAGTCGAGAATTCTAACTTGTGTGACTTCTAACTGTTGCACTCTTTACAAAAATTTATATACAATATTTATATAAATACACAATTTGATTATTCCTTAGTAATTGTTCACAGTTGTATATTTTTGTATTTTTGATTTTTGTATTTTTCATGAGGCCCTCCAAGAGACTGCAGGCTCCAGAAACCCAGTCCCCCCTCCCTGCCAAGCAGCTTCTCCCATCGCATACGTCATTTTTGTTCCTGTTTTTTATCCCTTTCACTCGCCTGATTAAATTCTGGATGTTCTTCCCCCTGTCTGCTTTACCTCTTCCCAGACTTTTTTGGAATGGAATCTTAACGACGAGGTTTCCTTTTTGAGATGCAGAAGAAAACAGACACACACACATACGCCAGTGTATCTTCCCAACCTTTTTAAAGGGAAGGGAAACCGGGGAAGATGGCTTATACCCCCCCCCCAATCAAAAAGATCCAGATGCAGATTTGGGAGTGGGGGGTGGGGTGGGAAGCATCCTCCCCAGAGCACTGGACTGGGAGAAGGACTACCTCTGTTTATGAAGGAAAGGTCAAAAGAATTAAATATTTATCGCTGGACTAAGCAACCGCTAACAACAAGAATGAAGCATCGAGAATGTAGGATGAAGGCTGTGGGGCTTGACCGCTGGAAGGAGGGGAGGAGGAGGCAAGACTGGGAGGGAGGGAGGGGTGTGCAGAAAAGAGGGAGAATCAGAGTGAGCTGGGGGTTCCTTCTTCTTGCACCCCCCCCCCAATGA